GCGGCGGCCTGCGCGTCACAGCCCGAGCGCGGCACACAAGGCCCCTTTCTTCTGTCACCTCCTCTTGTCCCCGTGTCCTTTTCGTGTGACTGACGTCTCCTCCCCGTTACCACGAGCAGTCCGGTTTTTTCGTGTTTCCCTACCGTTGTTACTTTCGCGGTTATTTAACGTGTCACTGGCCGTCCCGGCTGCGCCACCCGCTCTGCTTAGAGGCAAGGTGTAGCGCCGGTGTTGTCACCTCGGTGGTGCTTAGAAAGAAGAGAGAGGCAGGGGATGCCGTAAGGTTACGCTCAGCGAGGTCACGTTGGTATCAGCTGCGTTATAGAACCACAGAATCACAGACTGGTTTGGGTTGGAAGGGACCTTAAAGCCCATCCAGTTCCAACCCCCCTGCCATGGGCAGGGACACCTTCCACTAGACCAGGTTGCTCCAAGCCTCATCCAGCCTGGCCTTATCAAAGGTATTTTCCTCTAACTCTGCAGGGAGGGATGCAAGCCCGAGTACCAGTTCCCTACCCTAACACGGGTTCTGTGTAAGGTTGCCGCGAGCTGGGGCAGGGAGGCCTCAGATGCCTCAGGAGCAGATGCTGAGCTAAGTGTGGTTCCATCATGACCTGTGGGCATGTTTCCTTGTAGGCGAGGCTCTGCAGAATTAGGGCTGAAGTCTGCGTGGCACCGTCTTTTGGGAGATGTCGACAAAATGAGCTCTGGTCAAGGATATGGACAAAGGAGGATGCTCGCCCACCCTGTTTTTTTGGCACGTGGGAGTGTTTGCGGTCACAGAACTGGCAAGTTAATGGCATTACTAATTATCTCAGAAGACTGCGAGAGCCATCTGCATGTCTGTGTCATTCAGCGCCGGCTGCTGTGGTGCGACCCAAGGCTGTGGATGAGAAGACACAAGAGTTCAAACTGGTCTACAGGTTTCCGGGGATTAAGTACTGCAGGATGCTGTCCAGACTGAAGCTGCTGCAGACTGCCACCACCGTGGTCATGCTGCCTCCCATCTACTACCTCTACCTGCAAGACCAGGTTTCTCAGAACATCCTCTTATACACAACTGGCATTGCCCTCTTTGCTGGGGCGATGTTGTATGCTATGAGTCATTTTTTCAGACGAATCATTGGATTAATCTACTTAAACGAAACAGGCCGTACTGTCAGAGTGGCCCACTTGACGTTTTGGGGAAGACGGAAAGACATTTACTGTCCCATAGAGACAGTGATGACTTTGGATGAAGTTGGAGATGGAAAGGGGGAGCTGCTTCTCCAGTTCAAACGGTACAACTGTACAGATGTTTTGTATTTTACAATTAAGTATGGCCAGATTGTAGACAGACAGAAGTTTGCTCAAATATTTGGAGAACTGGCGTTATACAGCAGCTAATTTCCAGTGCTTTTCCTTGTTGCATGTTAATTGTGCTTATTCTTCTGCAAAGTTTGATTAGTGTACCAAACTGACATTTCCCTATGCAAAACCTGCTGGTAAGTGCAGTCAGTGTAGAAAGGAAACGGTGAAGAAAAATCCACTTCCAGGATGTGAACTGAACTGGGCAAAACAAGGGGGTGTGTTGTGAGACACCGACAGCTCAGCGGTAAGGGTAGGTTAGACTGGGACAGCGTTTCAGGAGTTTCTCCTAGAAACTGCTTTCCCGTTGGAGTAAGGGAGAAACATACCCGAAGCACGGTGCTGTGAACTGCAGGGACAGCCTGTGTGTATCCTTTGTTCAGGTTGGATCCTAATGATCATCTGAAAATTGGGAACTACTTGTCCTTCTTTGTGTATGTTCATGCTCGTGTTTGTTTTGTACGTATGAATGGTATTTAATCGATGCTGTAACACTTGAGCTGCAAAAACTTCAGTAAATGTTACCAAAAATTATCTTAGCCTCGGTGAATTCAGCAGTCCTCTCTGAAGATCACCGTGTAGCCTGGGCAGCGAGTCATCACAAGCTCTGTTGCCGAGTACCCTTTCCACTCCCTCCTCCCCCCGTCTGTTCTTAGCCGACATGAAAAACGGTAAGGCACCTGAAAGCTGTGTTGAATTAGGGCTGAAACGTGGGCTTTGCGTGCTGTTGGGCTTGTAGGGCTGACCACCCTGGGTCTGTGAAGGACAGTGGTCTTACTCCGGTGTTCGTGTGAGTCCTCCTTTTCCGAACCCAAAACCTCGGTAGGAAGGAGGAGCAGGATTTAAACCCGAGGAAGAAGCAAACTTGATGACTTGTAAAACTTTTTTTGAGTTTTCAGAAGCAAGTTAACTAACTCCTTAGGCTGCACTTCTGGCTCTTACTTCACTTGAAACAACAGCAGATGAGCTGACCCTCGCCAGCAGAGCAATTGGGGGAGTTCTTTTCCCCGTTTCTTCCTCGTGTGCACTGAAACCTCTGCCTCTCAGTGGACTGGCAGATCCAGGTAAGTAAAATTGCCATTTAAGTGCCCGGGCTAACCCTGATTTACTATGCATTTGTGATGAGCTTTTCCTGATGATGGCTCCGCTGTTTTCCTTTCAGGCCGAGCCGTGCGGCACAGCACTATCGGAAGGAAGAGGACGTGCTCCTCGGCTTGGACGCCCTGGCAGCAACAGGCAGCGGGGTGTACACACACAGCGTGGGTTTCGGAGGCTTAACGTCCTGAGAGTGCCTGTGGTGAGGTTCAGGCATGTACCGGGTGTCAAATAAAACCCCCTGGAGAAGTTCAATTATAAATAGTTTATTTAAGGATATTAATTACACATGAGATGTCATTTTTCTTATCGATCGGCGTAGTTACTAGGTACACCATGAAGTGCAGTTAAGTACTTGTTTAAACATTTATTTGGCACTGTCCACAGTATGCTGTAAACAATATCAACGTTATATGCTTCGGCTGCAGGGCTTCCTATGTGTTCTCTAACATGGTTTCATCAACATGTTGTACACAATTATACAGTTACTGAGTGTCAGTAAAAATTATAAAAACACCTAGAGTATTCATAATAAAAGTGACGATGCGGTAAGACTTCGAATTACTGGGTCTTTGTTTCTGTAAAAGTACAAGACTCGCTAGAGACATTTACTAGAACCTACTGCACTGATATGTGGAATGAACTAATTCCCAAAACGCTGTCAAATACAGCTCTTGGTTTGGCTTTCCTCTTGCTGATCGCACGCTTGGGAGGACAGCGACGACAAGGAGGTTTGGTTGAACACCAGTCCTTCCCCGCATTTCTACAGCCTGCGACCCAGCACCTGCTCAGGTTCTGACCGGCTGGTACCGGAGTTCTGCTCCTGCAGAGCGGCTTACAGCAATCCCATTATTTTTAAGCTAGCAGAAGTGAGTGTACTCGAGTTTCCCAATACCAACGTGCCAAACCAGGGGAAACTGTGATTACAGACACTTCTGAGAGCAGGTAAGACACCTTTCACGTTTTGATAGCTGTATGGAACATGGAAGTCTTAACTGCTGTCTCTTACTCTGTGCTTAAAGATCGTGGTCCGGTCCTAATGGGGCAACTGCAAAGTCCATTGTGGTCCCTGTTTTTTGGTGCACAAGATGAAGTTAAACTTGGTAAGCAAATTCCAGATTCGCTAGCCAGGAGAAAGAAAACCTAAAGGGCACCAGACCTAGTTCAGGTCGGCCTTAAGGAAACAGCAGAGTCGTCCAAAACAAATCTCTGAAGAGAAACCCATTAATCAACTGTTGACACTTTTTGATCCTGTGGCTTTGCAGAACATTTCTGAAGCCTGAATGAACTATTAGAACAAAAATAGCATTCCTGTGCATTGCAACTGTGCAGTCAGGCCTGGGCCTTGACCGCAGTAGCTCTGCTGTCAGGTCACGGCTGAGGTCAAGCAGTGCTGCTGCAGGTGTACCTCAAGGGTTGATGTAGGACTTGTAATAGACAAATTCATGGCTACTGCGTGTTACGGGCAAGTGGTGAAATAATCTCAGGTCATTGGGGACTGCTGGCAGAGGTGGGAATACTGTGCTTCACGATTCCCTAAGCTTTATCAAATTACATACTTCAGGGTGTAGTTTTCTCTGTACAAATCTGATTGTAAGAGAAGTCAGAAGTTTTAAAATCCAGGATGAGGAGAAGTACAAGGATTCCAGTTCCACTCGGAGCGCTGCACACGTGGCGGCGTGCAGTCGTGCCGCTGACGCGGGGTGTGGAGGCTGAAGGCCCCGCGGGCATAGAGTAGCTGATGGCATCCCGATCCAGTTGGTATGGCAGACGTCTGGGTTTGGGGGAATAAAGCTGGAAATTATTCTGTAAAACACGGTACTTGGCAGTGGGGGAAAGCAGAGCTTTCCTTTGAACACCTGTTTGATTCCAGCTACTATCAGAGAATGGCACTTCCTGTCTGGCAGGCGGGGCCGTCAGTGCTCCGTACGCGGTGCCTGCTGGAGCGCAGGAGCGCGTCTGCCGGGATTACCCGTGACAAGGGGCTGTACCAGCTCCTGTTTAGGCAAACAAATAGGGCCATGAGTGTCGAGAGGACTCTGCAACTGATGGGACCCGAGCCAGGAGATGCTGGGCCACAGCCTCTACAAAAGGCAGCGTGGGACAGCTGCACGTACCCGTGGGTGGCCAGTACCGCTGCTCTGCCGGGGCCGCGCCTGCGTGGAGCAGCTTGCCTCAGGCAGGATTACAGACAACACAAACCTTAGTTTATGACTTTACACTGAGCTTGTAAGTAGAGAGACATGAATTAATGCAAACTAATTTCATCGTCAGCCGTTCAGTGCGAGGGAACTGCTTTTTACTTGAAGTTTGCCAAGATGTCACTGAAAATGTTCAGAAAGAGGTGCGCGTGGTGATCCTTGAAGATCAGTGTTGGCCGAAAACGGATCGATCTGTCGCCACAGCCTCCCAGCACAACGCCTACAACGAACAGAAGAGCTGTTCTACTCATTTCCATCTTTGCCAAGGACCCAGAAAACGCAGGTCTCTGAGGTTCACTTCACTGGGGGGAGTGGGGAGTGGAACGGAAGGTCCCTGGATCATTGCTAACCACGCAACGATACAGTACGTAGTTGGTGGTGGTGCAAAGGGGCCTTGAGCTCCGCAGCAGCTCAGAACAGAGACCGTTAGGCTTCAGGTCACGAGGTTTCCCGATACCTGGGGGTTCTCTACAGCTGGGTGAGCGTCCTGCATGCAGCTGTACATCTGTGCCCATTCAGGCAACTCACTGTATTTCATTCTTAGGCATTCCATAAAATTCATGGGGGTTTTTTCCCTGTATTTTCCCGAGTGACAGTTGGCACTAACTTTCTTCTGCCTTTTGTGATCTGTTTCTAGAAGTAACCATGCCTAGGTGCACCTCAGGTCACCGCCAAGGAATATGCAAGTGATGCCACACAAACTCACGCCAACGTCCAAGCTAAACGTGTACACTGCTACGGGCTGGAAAATACAAGGATTTCCGAAGTCTAAGTACAGCTTTGTCCATAATTTCACCTCTGACCTCTGATACTGTAGTACACACCACCGTATGAAAAGGGAAAGTGTGCGTGTTACACGTGCTGCTGTTTGTCACTTGAACGTAACCCCCCCCCGAACTTTCTCACCTTTGTTTCTGGCTATGGTAATTAACTTGTTCCTAGTGGCATCGTTTGGAGTGTCGAACGAACAGAACGTTCCTCTCCCTCTCACTCTGCTGATAAGGTGGGGGTAACGAGCCTGCAAAGAGAGGTGAGGAAGCATGGGTGCTCGCTGCTGCGCGATGGCAGCTGGTGGTGAGCTCGCTCTGCCCGGCGTTCCGCTGTGGACACCCCGCCGCCTCCCCGTCCCGGTCTGGCGGAGGGAAGCCGTGGCACGGGCTGGGTTTCTCATGGAACCTCGTGCCCTCTTCACCCCGTTCTGACAATGCTCTGAGTGGCCGCAAATGGCAGAGCCCAGCAGCGGCCGGTTCTGCTCGCGGAGCAACAGCTGAGCAGGGAGTGAGAATGAATTTGTGCCCCTGAGCCGGGTCACGTAACATCTTACTTGCAGCCTCCTGCAGCGAGTGTAAAGTCTGAGTGTTTAAACTGGGTTAGGCCCGATCTTACCTGATCAGGAAATTTCTCCTTACCCACAGTCCCTCCAGAGGTTTTACCTGTAAATCCAGCAGCCCCGTCAGCAGTGCCTTCCCAGCGTGGGTTGCGTTGTTTAGAAGGTCTTCTCTTTTAATAACCTTAATGACTTCAGCAAGCATAAGGTTCTTGGATGGATCTCCGAGCCAGGTATTAAAAATCCGGTAAGGCTTGGGAAAGGGTGGAGACAGTTATGGAACATGTTAACAGGCAAATCACTGTCATCAAGAGAAGCAAGCCATCAAACTGGTAATGCAAACAGCTGGGGTATGAAAAAGCACGCCTTGATCTCACCAACCCCCTCTTTTTTTGTTGTAAGAGCAAGTTACAGCT